CAAAAAACGGACTTTCTTTTGCAGCGAACCGGTCGTGGATTCTCGTCCGACGTCGCGACAAACTTTGTGCGAACCGTGAGGAAGCGACAGTTTGAAAAAGCCTCTAAGAACCGCCGCATAAACCACGTGATCCCCGCGCGCCGACGAGTCAGTTGACACTAGAAACGAAGGGAGTTTGATTGACGACCTAACAGCCAATAGAAAATGAGGTAGTCTCGTTTTCTATTGGCTGATGTTTATCTGGCCTCAACACGTCCACGGTTGATCGATTTTCATTCTTTTTTTTTTTAAGTCATCATAATTACAAAGCTGCTGCGTCTCTGTAATGGTATTTTAATTTTTCATTGACAATTTGAAACAAAAACAAAATCTTCCGTACAACCTTTAAGCAACAAAACCGCCTCTTTACACTCAAAACTGACTAAAACTCAGTTCATATTTGACTTGACCACTTTAAGCAAACGGTTAACATGCAAAGAAGCTCATGACGGAGACGTGACGACATGAACGACACACTGAGGTCACAGGCAGCAGGCAGAGGGTAAAAAGAGACCAGAGGTTTCACCAGAGCAAAGAAAAAAGGACAAAATATGAAGTAAAGTTCATGTCTGTGAGGAAACGGCACTTTCTGGGACTCAGTGTTTTGCTTCATTGATTTCAGCACAGTTTCTTTTGGCCCTGGTGTCCTGTTCAGACTTGAAGCTCTGACGTTTTTCAGGTTCATTTTCAAAATTCTAAACTGGGACACACTCGGGTCGGGCTGGTGGAAAATAAAATAGTATAAAAAGAGGAACATTGTCCTTTCTCGACTCACTTGTGTCAGTTTGTGGTTACACCCTTATCATCAGAAGGCCCTTTAATCAGAAAGTTCTCTAGTCAGAAGGCCCTTTAATCAGAAAGTTCTCTAGTCAGAAGGCCCTTAATCAGAAAAAGGCCCTTTAATCAGAAAGTTCTCTAGTCAGAAGCCCTTTAATCAGAAAGTTCTCTAGTCAGAAGGCCCTTTAATCAGAAAGTTCTCTAGTCAGAAGGCCCTTTAATCAGAAAGTTCTCTAGTCAGAAGGCCCTTTAATCAGAAAGTTCTCTAGTCAGAAGGCCCTTTAATCAGAAAGTTCTCTAGTCAGAAGGCCCTTTAATCAGAAAGTTCTTTAGTCAGAAGGCCCTTTAATCAGAAAGTTCTCTAGTCAGAAGGCCCTTTAATCAGAAAGTTCTCTAGTCAGAAGGCCCTTTAATCAGAAAGTTCTCTAGTCAGAAGGCCCTTTAATCAGAAAGTTCTCTAGTCAGAAGGCCCTTTAATCAGAAAGTTCTCTAGTCAGAAGGCCCTTTAATCAGAAAATCATTCCCTCTTCTATTGGTTTGTCAGCAACATTTCTCTTGAACAATTGAATGTATATTTGATGAAAACAACAGGGAATAATCCCTGGATCAGGGAAGAATGAGTAAACTTTTGGATGTTTACCAATTAAAAATGGCTGCAACATCAACATTTTTAGAGATATTGACGGGAAAACACATAATCATGTATAATAACTTGAGCTAAGGCCAGCATGACTTCATTTGTTGGTTTACAAACCCACCAATGCTTATTAAAAGAAAAAGATTTAAAATAAAATTGAAATGAAGGTTGTAGAGCTCGAATTACTGAACATTTTGCAAGTTGTTGCCTGAAAATCAGACAATTATTAACCCTGTTCCACTTAAGACGACATTTCCACCCAAATCATTATTTCCTCAAACATTTTTGCTGCATTTTAAGGGTTTAATATATGTATTACTTTTAATATTTAAAACTTGTAATACAATTTAATTTGTAACAATTTGTAACACGACCTGAACATGGATTTTCTTCTTCTGATGATAAGGTTGACCTCCTCTGTTTGTATTTGGGGGAATTCTGTCGGTGCAGTTTTCCCTTATGCTAATTTTCAACCACGGTTTTCTGTATTTGAACTAAACTAATGACACAAAATCAGTGGTTTTGTATAAATCTGCTGGGACAGGGGACGCAGGACTGTGAGATTCACTTCTGCACGTCTCTGGTTTAGTGTTTCTTTATGTGATGCTTTGGGTTTGGCTCATGTTGCGCTGGAAATATCTTTTCTTTTTTTTTATTTTTTTATCTTAAACACGAGTCCTGTGCACTGAAAAACAGAAAACAGCCGTCGCTCACGTGCGCTGGATTTGTTTTGATGCAAAGATTTAGTAAACATCTCTGGTCCAAGATGATTTAAGGAGATGATTTAATTCAATCTGCTCCAAACTGCACTGTGGTCGTTATAACCTCTGGGCTCTGTTTACGCAGAAGAGACACACCAAGGAGGAGGATGAGGAGAAGGTCTGGAGGAGGATGAGGAGAAGGTCTGGAGGAGGATGAGGAGAGGTCTGGAGGAGGATGAGGAGAAGGTCTGGAGGAGGATGAGGGGAAGGTCTGGAGGAGGATGAGGAGAAGGTCTGGAGGAGAAGGTCTGGAGGAGAAGATCTGGAGGAGGAGGTCTGAGGAGAAGATCTGGAGGAGGGCCGGAGGGCAGGAGGAGCCGGGTTCTTAACTTAATAATGTTTCGATTTCCTGTAAATGTTCTTCTGTCTAAACACTGAACATGCAGAAGTCAGAGTGAGAATGAAGAAAAGAACAAGTGAACGTGTAATGCCTCTTCGTTCGTTTGCATCCGGTGAAAGTTCATAGAAACAGAATTCAGTATTTTTACTTGGGTCTGACCGAAATATTGTTTGGTCGATATTATCGGCCGATATGGACACTTGGAGACATATGGACTATCGGCCTAAATGTTGCAGATCTGGTCTGATAGTTCACGTGGGCAGCAGTGTTATAACGTTTTTACAACCTCTTCACCCTGTGTCATATTTTGATGAACTTTTTCTAGTAATGAAAAGAATTGACCTACAGTTGGTCATATTTTAAAAAAAAAAAGTCTCCCCGGACTCAAAATGAAGTTTTGGTAAAACCTCCCAACCAGAATAAAACTGTTAGAAGGTTCATATCTGTTCAGTCATAAAATAACCAAAGACAATTTTCTCTTTAATAACACAAACAAAACTCATGATCAGGGTAAAGATCATATCAAGTAGGAAACTAAAAGTCCAAACATGATGATTGTCAGTGTTGTTTGCAACGACGAATCGAATGGTTTATAAAGTGAAAGCAAGAATAGAAAGTGAAACTCCAGTTTATGATGATGCAGAACAACTTATTATTGATCCTTTTTCAGTCAGATTGACTGTTTCACATTTCATATCATCGACTGTAATGTGGATTTAATATTTTTTTGTGTCGGGGAGACTTTTTTATTAAAAGAGTTTTGAAAATGGAGTTTGGTTTCTTCAATTATACCAAAAAGTTCATCCAATCATGACGCAGGACTTTGATTTTGGAAAAAAAAGTTCAAAAAGTTATAACCCTAGTGGGCAGGTTACACCTCATGATAAAGCTTAGACTGTCTATAATGTCCATTTAATCCAATTTAATCCAATTTACAGACAGATAAATGTCCTCACATGTGGCGATGCATCAGTTACTCCACATTTATCTGTGGAGTCATTTGTCTGTGACGCCGTACAGTCCCTGAACACACCTCCAGAGTCTCGTGGGTTTGTTTACACCTGTGCAACCTGAGACTGCACTGAGGCGCTGGCTTTTAATGCTCTTAACTTAAATAAAGTTTAAGTCTGTAAAAAGCTGAACACTATTACATACAGACTTAATAAAAGTGTAAAAATCCTCACACGTTTGGTAAATGTGATTATATTTAGAGTAAATCTTTCCAGGATGCAGACAGAGGCAGATCACTTCACCCTCTCGTCTCCAGAGCCGTTTAAGGTCTGAGGGTTCAGAGTTTAGAGGGAGGAGGGTCTTTATGGAGGTGAAGACTGTGGGTCCGGTTGCAGTGAGAATTTTAAGGTGTGGGTCCGGTTGCAGTGAGGATTTTAAGGTGTGGGTCCGGTTGCAGTGAGGATTTTAAGGTGTGGGTCCGGTTGCAGTGAGGGTTTTAAGGTGACGGTCCAGTTGCAGTGAGGGTTTTAGGTGTGGGTCCAGTTGCAGTGAGGGTTTTAAGTGTGGTCCGGTGCAGTGAGGGTTCGGTTGCAGTGAGGTTTTAGGGTGTGGTGGTGTGGGTCCGGTTGCAGTGTTTTAAGGTGTGGGTCCGGTTGCAGTGAGAGTTTTAAGGTGTGGGTCCGGTTGCAGTGAGGATTTTAAGGTGTGGGTCCGGTTGCAGTGAGGGTTTTAAGGTGACGGTCCAGTTGCAGTGAGGGTTTTAGGGTGTGGGTCCAGTTGCAGTGAGGGTTTTAAGGTGTGGGTCCAGTTGCAGTGAGAGTTTTAAGGTGACGGTCCGGTTGCAGTGAGGGTTTTAGGGTGTGGGTCTGGTTGCAGTGAGGGTTTTAGGGTGTGGGTCCGGTTGCAGTGAGGGTTTTAAGGTGTGGGTCCGGTTGCAGTGAGAGTTTTAAGGGTGTGGGTCCGGTTGCAGTGAGGGTTTTAGGGTGTGGGTCCAGTCAAATGAAGCTCACCGAGGCCTGTTGCTAAACGTTCGGGTGAAAGAAGGCGCCTGATTGGTCTGTTATTAATGTTTATGTCTTGATTTACGGACAAAAAGTGAAATAAAAACCCCAGGATCATGTAGAGCGAGTTCAAACCATTTTAAAGTCAGAATAATGAGCCTGGCAGCAGCAGTTACACAGAAAAGTACATTGGAGCCAGAGTCGATGGAGCAGGAAGCGCGGCCATGCTGGTCACTTTGTGTTTGGAAGGCGGCGGTTTGTGGGTTAGCTCTGTCCATTTATATAAACACTCTATGGTTGTGTTATGGTGGGGAAGGGTGCGGTTGTGCGAAGGTGCGATCGTACAGGGGAGGGTGCGGTTGTATAGACTAAGATTCGGTTGTACAGGTTAAGGTGCGGTTATATGGGGGAGGGTGTGTTTGAATGGAGTAAGTTGTGGTTGTTCGGGGTAAGGTCCTGGCTCCACTGCAGCGTCAACATTTACCTCACGAAACCACAGCCGCGCATCAACGCAAAGACGACTCCACCTGAAGCTGCAGCAGGACGAACACGCGCAGCACTGACTCTGTGTTTGTCAGTGTAAAGTCGATCAAACTGGACTGAGGCGTTTAGTCGCTTGTATCAGGTCCACAGTGAAACTAACAGAACACACTTGTATTTACCTTCTGTACAGACTCACCGCGGCAAACACCACGATTTCAAAAGGACATTTTAAACTCTTATGAAGAGTCTTTGTGGAGCTGGGCTCTTTCACACGACACAGATCTGCCCCAGGAGCTCGATGTGCTGATGGTAAATGCACAAATACAACCAAAGATTCATGTTCTTGTGGATTTTGACAGGGACACGCGCCTGCACTCACGTAGAGACTCAAAAAATAGAATGGATCCTATTTTCTGAAATCTACACGCAGGACGAGCTGTTCTGTACGAGCGTCTAGAGCGAACAGTGCAGCCGCCCTCACTCACTTTCTATGATTCTAAAAGTAACGCCTCCGAAAGTTGCAGTTTTTACGCTCGCCTAGGGTGAAACACACATGCAGTGGAGCCAGGTCCTAATAGGGTGCGGTTGTATGGGGTCAGGTGTTTGTTTGCTGGAGGGTGCGGTTGTACAGGGGAAGGTGAGGTTGCGAAGGGAAAAGGTGCAGTTGCAATAGTTCGGCTGAGATGGGGGTGGGTGAGGTTGCGATGGAGAAAGGTGCGGTTGCGATGGGTGCAAAGGGTGTGGGCGCAATGGGACGGTTGCGATAGGGGTGGGTTGCGATGGGTGCGGTTGCGATGGGGTGCTCACTTGGTTGTCTGCGGACAGGCGGGGCAGTGACACCGTGCGCCCGTGCACGTCCATGTGAAAAGGCTCTGAGTCCGACAACCGGCCCATCTCCCTCATCTCTACTGTCTGTAAAACAAACGGCGCTCTCATGTGGCAGCGACAGGAACAGCACCAGGAGCTTATGCAGAACGTGCACCTGCATAAACTCACCGTCCTGTCGGAGCTCGTGGGTTTGGGAAAAGCTCTGAGCAACTTCCCAAACCCACAGATTAGTAAAGATGACACAATGTGAGAGTTTAGTGTTTAGTTTTCTGTGAGAAGAAGAATTTTACAATGATCATGATTATAAAGAAAGAATGATTTAAGGTTCAGGTTCATGTTCACTTTGAGCAGGTGTGTCCAAACTGGAGCTCTGGAGCCATCAGTGTCTCTCCACCAAGGGATTTTGGAATTATACCACTGTGCAGAATTACAAACATTTGGTTAATTACCGCATTTTTCGAAGTATAAGTCACACTTTTTTTCATGGTTTGGGTGTTTCCTGTGAATTATTCTCCGGTGTGACTTATATATTAAAATGTTCAGACTAACAGCCACGAGAGGCTCTAGTCTTGTGTTTTTCAGTTTCGTGTGCATGTCTCCTGCAGAAAAAGCCTCTGTCCTGCTACAAGTCATGAAATATTCAGCCGAAAATGATAATCGAGCAGCAGAAGGAAAGTTTGGATTAAGCAAGAAAGTTGTGAGGGACCAGGGGAAAGTGGGAACGGAGAACACAGCTTCACGGGAACCGGGAGGATGCGCCATGAAACTTTCCTGAAGTCACTGGATGACAAAGCATACGCCTCGTGAACAGTCCCCAAGGATCCGTACGCCGCGCGAACAGTCCCTCCTTCTGCGAGCTGCGCCACTAAACCAGAACTAAACCAAGTCTAAAACCAGGTCCAAAACAGGATTTAGCCAGGACTTAACCTTGCCACCGGATCGCCCACCACGCCTCCTCCCATACGCAGCCCAATTCCTTTCGCTTCTCCGTGTTTGATAGAGTTTCAGAAAGCAAAGGTTCCCATCTACGGGACTTGCGGGCCGGAGTGGGACAAAATATCACAGATGCGGGCGGGAGCAGGACTGAAATTTACAATTGTTTGCAGGAACGGGATTTTCAGATCTCTCGCCTGGACTCCAAAGTTGCGTGGAGTTGCTCAGAAGTGACACTGAGGATGAAGAATTCAATGGATTCAATGGATTTAGTGATTTGGAGTTCTGTTTATGCAATAGATATTTGAATAATTGTTATTATGTGACATGAACATATTAAGGCCTGTTCAGCCTGTTGTTCTTTATTCTATTGTTATTATATTTATATAACTTGCCTTTCAAGATAAAATGTAGGAGAAAATTCAGTTTGTCGATTGGACTGAATTTTCTCCTACATGGGATTCTACCTGGACGACCGAGGGATTCTTCACACATTCAAGATAAAATGTCAGTTCCTGGTCCCTGATTTTATAAAATAAATTTCCTCCAAAAAGTGTGACTTATATGTGTTTTTTTTTTTTTCAGAATCTATGACCAAAAATCTACAACAATACCAATTTTCATCTTCCTCGCTCTATTTTCTATGAAGTTCTGGTCTCTCAAACATGATTATAAATTAAGGCTTCCGAGAAAGTAAACACGGCCCCAAAATTTCAATGGGCCAAAACTCAGGAATGCCTGAAGGGACTGAGCTAAAATTTGAGATTCTTTCATTTGGTGACTTTAGAAAAAATTTCAGCCAAATCTCAGACGGCTCATAAGGGAGGGCGGCTGATTTCATACAGACTGACCCAATTACACGTAAAAAAATAACACTACAGTTTTGAAGTCACTTGCCCAACAGAGTCAGAGTCCGACTGGGTGGATTTCAAACTGGTTTTCGTTGTAGAATCTGGCAACCCAAAGTTTGTTTTTGTTTTCTCGTTAATATTAAGTTTGTGTTTGTTTCCTTTAAAAATTGAAATCAGTTTTTAGTTTTAAAATTCTTCGTCTAAACTCACAATAATCATGATTCATTGTAAAGTTGCTTCATACGACATCATCGTGTGAAAAAACATAATTTATGCAACGAGTGCTGTTGCATAAATTGACTGTTACTGGAGCGTTTGGATTAGTTCTTGGATTTGGGCAAACTCTGTAAACAGAATCAACTTTGAGTCGCTTCACTTTGGCTCCAAACGAGAAAAAGTTTAAACCAACAGAGCGTCATTTCTTTGGACTCTGAGTTCGCCCAAACACGGAGCAGAGATTAGAGATGAGAACAGAGAGAGGAGGTTTAGTAACGACACAGAAGATCGACAAACTGGTTCAAGAGAATTTCCTGCTGTCATAAAAACTTGAATCTAATGAAATAAAATAATTATATTGATCTAATCAGAGCGGAAGATACACATTTTCTTTTCCATGATCTAAAAACCCGCTCCACAACAAATCTGCTGCTCAAAAAACACACAAAAACACACAAAAGTATCAACTGTCTTCAAATCAAAAAAGAAATTGTACTAGATTTAAAAATTATAATAATAATAATAAATAAAATTGGAGGTTCAAAAGAGCAAACTGTTTGAGAATGACTGAGAGATACAGACTTTTGTAAATAAAGAAAAGACAGATAAACGACAGAGGCCTGACGCAGCAGCAGCCGCACGATCAGTTTCACAAAGAGGAACATTTCAGTGGAAGCAGCACGTTTAAAAAAAAACAAAAAACACATCGAGTGAAACAAGCAGAGCTCAAAGGATCATCTCTATCATCTCTGAGGAAACGTTTACACTCGTCTGTGTCACAGTCACACCCAGAGTCCTGATACTGGAGCTCAGGTCATTTTCATTCCTAACTGTGAAATCTGCAGTTGTGCGTTAGTGACTTGTGTTGTGTTACCTGTGTGTCGTGTTACCTGTGTGGTGTTACCTGTGTGTGTCGTGTTACCTGTGTGTGTTGTGTTACCTGTGTCGTGTTACCTGTGTGTGTCGTGTTACCTGTGTGTGTCGTGTTACCTGTGTGTCGTGTTACCTGTGTGTCATGTTACCTGTGTGTGTCGTGTGTTACCTGTGTGTGTCGTGTTACCTGTGTGTCGTGTTACCTGTGTGTGTGTTACCTGTGTGTGTCGTGTTACCTGTGTGTGTTGTGTTACCTGTGTGTCGTGTGTTACCTGTGTGTCGTGTGTTACCTGTGTGTCGTGTTACCTATGTGTGTCATGTTACATGTGTGTTGTGTTACCTGTGTGTGTGTTACCTGTGTGTGTCGTGTTACCTGTGTGTGTTGTGTTACCTGTGTGTGTGTGTTACCTGTGTGTGTTGTGTTACCTGTGTGTGTCGTGTTACCTGTGTGTGTCGTGTTACCTGTGTGTGTGTGTTACCTGTGTGTCGTGTGTTACCTGTGTGTGTCGTGTTACTGTGTGTCGTGTGTGTGTTACCTGTGTGTGTTACCTGTGTGTGTGTGTTATGTGTGTGTCTGTTATGTGTGTTCTGTGTGTGTGTGTGTTACCTGTGTGTGTTGTGTTACCTGTGTGTCGTGTTACTGTGTGTGTCGTGTTACCTGTGTGTGTACCTGTGTGTGTGTACCTGTGTGTGTTACGTGTGTGTGTGTGTGTGTGTTACCTGTGTGTGTTGTGTTACCTGTGTGTGTGTGTTACCTGTGCGTGTGTTACCTGTGTGTTACCTGTGTGTGTGTTACCTGTGTGTGTGTTGCGTGTGTGTGTGTTACCTGTTGTGTGTTGTGTTACTGTGTGTGTGTGTCTGTGTGTGTTACCTGTGTGTGTGTGTGTGTACCGTGTACCTGTGTGTGTGTTACCTGTGTGTCGTGTTACCTGTGTGTGTTTGTTACCTGTGTGTGTTGTGTTACCTGTGTGTGTCGTGTTACCTGTGTGTGTTGTGTTACCTGTGTGTGTTGTGTTACCTGTGTGTGTCGTGTTACATGTGTGTTGTGTTACCTGTGTGTGTTGTGTTACCTGTGTGTGTTGTGTTACCTGTGTGTGTTGTGTTACCTGTGTGTGTTGTGTTACCTGTGTGTGTGTGTGTGTGTGTGTTCTGTGTGTGTGTTACCTGTGTGTGTGTTGTGTTACCTGTGTGTGTGTGTGTGTTGTGTTACCTGTGTGTGTTGTGTTACCTGTGTGTGTGTGTTACCTGTGTGTGTGTGTTACCTGTGTGTGTTGTGTTACCTGTGTGTGTGTGTTACCTGTGTGTGTCGTGTTACCTGTGTGTGTCGTGTTACCTGTGTGTGTCGTGTTACCTGTGTGTGTTGTGTTACCTGTGGGTTGTGCCTGTTGTCCTGGAGGTCGTCGGGGTAACTTCTCTCCGGGCTCCAGTTCCCCGTTTTCTGGAACATTTGCTGGGCTTTGGCCGTCATCCACGAGGGGCTCTCCGTCATACCGCCCTCTGGTGGTCTGAGGCAGTAACACATCCAGTCATTACACACAAAACTCAACAACATCAACACGTGGAAATGCTCAAGGGGCCGGAGTGTGTGTAATGTGTGTGTTATATGTTTTAGAAGTGTATGTAACACTCACACGGTGTTGAGGTAGTTTTACTCGAGTACATGTGTAATACTGTACTTTACTCACATGGTGTTGAGGTAGTTTTACTCGAGTACATGTGTGATAATGTACTTTACTCACATGGTGTTGAGGTAGTTTTACTCGAGTACATGTGTAATAATGTACTTTACTCACACGGTGTTGAGGTGGTTTTACTCGAGTACATGTGTAATACTGTACTTTACTCACATGGTGTTGAGGTGGTTTTACTCGAGTACATGTGTAATACTGTACTTTACTCACATGGTGTTGAGGTAGTTTTACTCGAGTACATGTGTAATAATGTACTTTACTCACATGGTGTTGAGGTGGTTTTACTCGAGTACATGTGTAATACTGTACTTTACTCACATGGTGTTGAGGTGGTTTTACTCGAGTACATGTGTAATACTGTACTTTACTCACATGGTGTTGAGGTGGTTTTACTCGAGTACATGGGTGATAATGTACTTTACTCACATGGTGTTGAGGTGGTTTTACTCGAGTACATGTGTGATAATGTACTTTACTCACATGGTGTTGAGGTGGTTTTACTCGAGTACATGTGTAATACTGTACTTTACTCACATGGTGTTGAGGTGGTCCGGCTGCAGGCCCGGGCCCCCGTTGGGCCCCTGACCCTCTCTCCCTCCTTCACTCGGAGGCTCCATGCGTTCAAACATTAAGGGCGGTCGGTTCTGTGGCAGAAACAGCTCCAGTCACACACAGAGACAGACGCAGTCACAGCAGACGCCCACAGGGGGCGCCAGAACAACCACCGGGCTTTAGTCTGCACAAGGGTGAAGTCCAGAGGAACACTGATCTGAGATCTGCTGTCAACAAAAGTGTCTGAGAGTCCACAGATTACAGAGCTGTGAGGACCTCTCCTCCAAAAGAGTCAAATACACACTCATGTGTCCACAGGGGGCGCTAGAGGGCAGCTCCAGAGGAACACTCTGTACACACAGTGTTTCTCTCAGAGTCCTACTGAAGTATTTACAGACACTTTTACTCAGGTTTGTGTTTGTGTTGATAAAAACAGCAGATTTCAGATCAGTGTCAAACACAGACTTGGACCTTGGGTTTAAAGAAACGACACGTTTCATAAAAATCAACGACAGATTCACCACACGGACGACAAGAAACATCCAGAACATCCAGAGCACCTCAGACACGTCTCACACACACCAACCATCATGCACAAGGAACATTCTGGAACTTTTAACAGTCCAATATGAAACAGCAGTGTGTGTGTGTGTGTGTGTGTGTGTGTGTGTGTGTGTGTGTGTGTGTGTGTGTGTGTAATAATGTAACGCCCTGTGGACAGTTAGAACATTATTACCATGTGATCTTCATCATGAGACAGTCACAACAATCCACCGACACACAACCACACACACACACACAACCACACGCACACAGATACACACAACACACACACACAGATACACACACACACACACACACACACACACACACACACACACACACACACACACACACACACACACACAGATACACACACAGATACACACACAGATACACACACAGATGCCCCACAGTGGAGCTGGAGTTAGGACCAAGAGAAGACTGAACTCTGACCTTTGGCTGGAGAATAAACAGGAAACAAAAACAGAGAACACACAAAGCAATGAGCCCAAAGCAGAACAGAGCGCACAATGAACACACAGCAGCCACCAAAAAACAACAACAAAAAACATCTTTAAAGAAAACCACAGACACAGCAGAGGACGGCAAAAACAACAGAAGGCTGAACATTTCGAGTTGTTGTCGGCGTCACAGCAAAACTCCGCTCTGGTGTCTGCGAGTCAGGAAAAGTGCTTAAAAACTCATGGTGGTGAATTATGAGGACGCTCTGAACGCACCGAGTGAGTGAGGAAAATCTGTGTGTCATTCGTTCATTCGTTTTTCAATATAAAACCAAAAATAAGAAAACGAAAAAACAACAGTTTTCTTCATTATTTGTCTCCAAAACCAAAATGAAAAAACAGATAATGATTTGTTTTTTTCAATTTTCGATTTTGTGTTTAAATGAAGAATGGAAAAAACGGATAAGGGCCGTTTCCCATTTACGTGACTTCAGTGACTGTGATGCCGAACTTTTGCACCGTGTACGGACTGAACCAGGACTGATCCAGGTCTAAGATCAGAC